CGTCTCCACCTTAGTTGCAGACTCAGCCAAGCGCTTCTTGTAGGCATCCCTTGCTTTAGAAGCAATCTTCACATTCAGGGATGCGTTCGAGGCTTTCTTCTCATTATTGCCAAGGTCTTTCTCTAGCTTCTCTTGATTGAGAGATATTGCACCTCAGCAGTGGCACACAGGGCCATAGTATGATACAGACCCTACATCATCAAACAACAGAGATAACAATGTAAGTATAGTGGAAGCAAGAACTAAAAGAGCAAGGAAGGAAGAAGGAACAGACCTCTATGGCGCGAATGGGGGCAGATGGAAGTAACTGTTCCAGTCCCATTCTGCCGATAATCTTCTCGTCTTTGGGGAACCACATTCCCCGGGCAACCACCAATGCAGCTGATGGATCGGTGATCATAGAATCACCAGAGTGCAGGACCGATTTATCAGCCCTAAGAAAAGGAAGGTGCCCAAGGAGTCCCAATTTTAGCCAGAACATATGCTCTGACTTTATCCTCTGGCTCAGTCTCTCCAGCTTTTTTCCCCTTACTCTTAGAAGGAGTCTTACTCCTGCCAGAGGAAGATGGATTGGGCCTAGTCTTCTTCAGAGGAGGCTCATCGACCTCTGTCTCATGCTCATTCGACCTGATAACTGCTAAGGGCCGATCTTCAGCAGCTTTCTTCTTTAGGGCCTCAGCCCTCTGTTTTCCTTCCTCAATCATTGGGAAACTATCGAAGGTCGGAAGAGACAAATCCATGAGGTCTGCAGCTTCAACTCTAGATGTGATTTCCTTAAGGTTTGCTAAGGTAAGCAAATCCTCAATAGAAGGGGGCTCGCACCAGACTTTCTTTTCAAAAAGGAAAGTCTCTTCTTAGCAATAGAGGAAGGGAATGTCACTAAAACAAGACCAAGAAATTCATAAGTATACCGAAAGAGTAAAACTTGACATGGGAAACAACCAGAACAATTTTTATGTAGAGAGGGGGCATAATCTATACCTAGCTTCCCAAACTTGCGTGGGATTGGGAGCTTGCTCGATTGAGATACAGCCCGTTTCCCTTTAACGGTTATCGTCCTCTATATCCACTTCTTTTCAAAGGAAGGGAGGTTTGTACATATCCTCTGGTGCGAGGAAGAGGTAAAGTAAAAGCGACCAGGTTCGGTCCCGTGCTTGAAAATAGCATAAGTAATTAGCAAGTCAGCAAGAGTCAGATCAAGACTCTCCAGCCTTCGGCGAGCTAGGAATGCCAAGATTATTCGGAAGAAGTTAGGGTTGACTTGTAGGGGTGCAATCCCTAATTTGTTAAAAACTAAATGATAAAAAGGGTGAAGGGGGAATCGAAGAGCGTTGAGGTGCCCAACAGAGAGGAGCAACTCGTCATCGCCGACGCCCTCACCGGCACAAAAATCGGCGCCCTTGGGGTATTATACAATTTCTACCTCCTCGGGAATCTCAAAATCCTCTATTATGGATTCAATGGAAAACTTAATACGACGAACAGATAAAATTGCATTTCTCTCTTCGTTAATAAAAACACTATCTGACCTAGAGGTGGATGTCTCAGCCTGGAATGGAGAAATACCCGGCTGATTGGTCGAGTCATTTGCAGATCTAAGAAAGTTAGAAACCCTAAGAGGAGGAACCCTTAATGAGGTTAGAAGAAGACGATAGCATGGATTCAGAATCCGCGATTTCTACATGATCAGGAGTAGTCGAAGTACTTATAATGCAAGATTGAAAGAAGAAGATGAAGAACTAACCTGGTGATATGAGAATGTGAAGAACGCAAGGGACGAAACGAGCGCAGTAAGAACAAAAGCAAGTCTTGAAGAAGTCCTTGAGTGAGAATAACAATAGACACAACTGGAAATGCCTCGTGCAAAAGTGGTAACTGCACAACTTCAATTCCCTTTTAATTAGGAGCTGTAGTCCAATTAAAGAGGAATTGGGGGCAAAGTGTGGAGGGAAAAAATCCCCTCTAATAAGATTACTCCACGTCATCACGGATGCAAATCTGTCTTTCAAAGGCCCGTCATGCTCAAGCCCAAATTGAATGTATTCTTAGCCCATGATCACTGTTATTTGCCCTCCAACCTTTATCCAGGCCAAATCAAAAGGTTATCAACCCGATTTGCTAATATCAACATCCGGCCCGTTATTCAAGCCCAGCCGATTAAAGGTACAGCCAGCCCAGTTATTCAAGATTGGACAAATCCTATAAGTTGAAGGATTTACCGTAGAAGGAAGACTTTGCAATAGGAAGTTCTACACAAAGCAAATTATGTGCATGGAAAATTAAATAATGGAAAGAACTCTAATTGTAAAGAAAGTCATACATGGAAAGAATTGGAGGACAAGCAATGCGAGTCCTACCATAATTCTACTACTTTTTTTATGTATAAATAGAGGCCAAGACCTCCAATAAAAGGGATCCCAAGCGTCCAAGCAATTCTACACTTTTCTATATACTGTTCTTGGTTATTTTTATTGCTGATTGAGTGAGTTGTTTTATTTCTCTTAATCGTTATTGGTTGAGCGAAATTTTGCACCTACAGGGGGGAAAAAAGAAATTTTAGAGAGAGCTGGTAATGGAGGTGGGAGGGTTATGGAAGTGAATTTGATTGTCATGGTGTGAATATGGGATAGACAATGACAGTTATGCAATTAGGTTTCAGTAAGGTTGATTATGATGAACTGATGGTTATCTACAGATGTCAGAGTGGTGAGTTTTAATGGAGTTGTTAGCAAACAATTAGGATGGTGGATGGTGGCCATGGTGATGGGGTTTCAACCAGAAATGGAGAAGTGATATTCTGGTGGTGTAGGTAGTTGTCAAAAATATTGTAAGTGATTAGGGAGTGAGTGATGTGCTAATCAGATGTGGCTTTATGCTAAGAAGGTCAACAATGGAAATGATTTAGCTAGTGGAAAGACTAATAGAAAGCTTTAGCTAGAATAAGAAAGATCTTTCTATGATTTTTAAAGATTTCTTGGAAGTTAGTGATAGGGTCTTAAGAAATGTAACATGACGTATCTTAGAAAAGGGAAAAAGTAATAAATAGCACATATTAACATATAAAAGACACATATAATGGAATTGTGACTATAATGAGAAAATATGGGGGGAAAACAAGTGACTTTCTAATTGTTATAACTTTACATCATGGATCAGCATGGAGATGTTATCTTTTGTCTTAGTTATGTATGAACTGAAAATATACATTAAGCTGAAATTACTTAGAACATACCATGTACTGGTGCTATTATTTTGATTGATGGAACTAATGTAGGGACAATCTAATTATAGGTATTGAAATAAATTCTAGAAAATAGAACTAAATTTTTGTAATGTAAATTTACTTAAACTAGGAATACAAATGAAGATAAAGCAAAATTTGAAAATTATTAGATACTAAAATGCGAATAATTTCATTACCTAGGCTTTATTGTTCATATAGAAGGACAAATTGAAGATGACATTCCTTACAGAATTTAAAACAAGATACATTAAGTGGGGGAGTGCTTTTTTATGTGTAGTTGACGTATACCTTTAAAACTAAAAAAATTATTATATAAGCCATACATAATTTATAGGATAGAATGAGGGGTGATTAACAAACATGTTCATAGATGGAGTGTGGAGAAATGCACATATTGAGAAAATGCATGCTAACACAAGAACAAATAAAATTAGGAATAAATACAATTTTCAGATGGTTTTTCTTTTCTGGCAATGCATTCATGAGAGTTGAGACAAATGAAGCAACACACATTGGGAATAAGATAAAATAAAATAAAAAAATGATTAAGTTGGTTACCAATAACTACATATGCAACTAGAAAAAAAAATAAATAACTACATACGCGACAAAAGTGACATGATCCACATTGAAGACAATGCAAAGGGAAAGACAAGATAAAACTTAACATGGATTGAGACAGTAACAAAGGAAAGCAAAGTCACAACACATATTCTGCTACAGATATGCAGGCTTTAGAGTGTGATGACACACACACAAACAAAGAAGACAACAAGAACTAATATTATTTAATATTATTTTTTTTCAGTTTTTCACCATGTTAATTCCATTCTATCACTAAGTTATTTTTAGGAAAATTATAAATAACACAACAAAGGAAAACAAATGTATCAGTAAGCATGAGTGAAGACTTCTCAGGTGATGAGTCCACGCAGGGTGAGTAATAAGACACCAGAGAAGTCTGCAATATAGCCCATTCAAGAATTTATACCAGACATAAAGGCTTAAAGGAGATAGGATGCACACGAAACAAATCTCATGGAAAGTGGGTTAAAAAAATAGAAATAAGGCGCACTTGAATTTCCCCAAAACCTAAGAGTGAAAGCAAACAATTAAGGCATAAATATAATAATTTAACCTACCTCACCAATACTGAAAGCACCAAGCATGGGTGATGAGTCGACACAGAGCGAGTAGTAAGACAGCAGAGAATTCTGCAATATAATCCATTCAGGACATAAAGGCCATTTGGTTAAAAAATTAGAAATAAGGCACTTGAATTTCCCAAAAACCTAATTAGGAGAATAATTTAAATTACCTCACGAGTACTGTTGTCTACGTGATCGTGATCAACCTCTTTGACAATCCCATTACGGTGGGCTTCTTCAAGATTCAAGAGTCAAAAAAACAAAAAAAAAAAAAACACAAATTATTAACTGAAGAGACAAATTACTCATAAATCAAAATTGAAAAAAATTATAACTCACCGATAGTTCGTCATTTTGCAGTGTTTGGCAGTGATGGCGCTCTCTTGAATGGGTTGGAATTAGCACAAACAACTTGTGATTAGGGAATTCTTCTTAAAAATCGATACATTCCCTCTAAAAATGTGCTCTGCCTCACCCTCAAACTCTATGAAAAGGGGATAAGAATGAATTGGGGATTCTTTGAAAACCCTCTCTAAAAAAGTCTGCTTGCACGAATGGAATGTTAGGGTTAGGGGTTTGTTGATCGTTTTACAGAGAAGGGGGAAGACTGAGGCCTGCCTACACGAATGGAATATGAAAGAGGCGCTTTAGGGCTTACAATTAGGTCATTATAGAAAAGGGCATTTTAAGCAACACATAAAATAGGAAGAAGGGCATTTTAGGTAACACACATTATAAACAGTATTTTTTCATGTGCCACCTCAGCTTTTGGGTCAAACACATTTTAGAGAAATACTTGACTTTGACTCAGCCTCTTAGTAAATATGAAGCCCTAACCTCATTTATATGTAATAATCCCTATTTTTTATGTCCTCATAATACAAGCTTTATTTTCACTATTCATGCACTTGCCATGGCACAATTCAAACACGGTCATTCCAAATAAAAGGTGAGACCACTATAGGACTCATCACATTGTGCTTACCACCATCTTCCACCCAAATTACATAACCAAATTTGGCGGCCGTGTAAGTCTCGTTCTTCATATAACGGATGGTCAAAGAGTAACTCTTCTTCTCATACATCTTCTTAAAAATCATTGTCTTTGGCGAGACTGTGACAACAGAACCCATTGGTGCTTCAACCTGAACTTTATAAGTGGCCATGGCGTTGCCAACATTCGTGACTGTCCTCCTAAATTTCTTAACCAGTACTATATCCTTTTCATCAGCGTAGAAAGCAATAAAGGATGGATAATTGAGGTCAGACGACGGGTTTGAACAACTGTAACTGTTTGATCTTGTGATGGTCAAGATTTGATTCTTAGTGAAGTTCATTGAGCATATGAGATTCACATAATCCTGTGGAGTAGCATCATAGATAAGACCTGGATCAAGCGCTCGGTTAGGATCAACATGACCTGATCCCATGGCTAGAGGTGTAGCTTCGCCATTAAAGCTATTGTGTCGGATAGGATTGTGAGTGTTGTCAAGTGGGTTGGCTGTGGTCATCATGGCAGACTTAATAGCAGCTGGACTCCATTCCGGATGTGCGCCTTTTAAGAGCGCAGCGATGCCAGAAACATGAGGACACGCCATGGATGTCCCGGATATCATATTGTAATCACTGGACAACCCAATATTTGAGCCAATATGACTTGCCGGACCATTTGGAATCCATGCTGCTAAGACTAATATCCCCGGTGCCAATAGGTCCGGCTTCAAAATGCCTGGACAGCTCTCGGCAGGACCTCTTGAAGAGAACGAGGCAACAACAGGGGCACGCTTTGTTCCTACAATGGTCTGTTGGAACTTGATGCTCGCTGTTGGTGTATTTCCACTTTCAGCATATTTGATCACAGTTGTGGCTTCTTTAGAACTAATAACAACTCCCGGACAGGGGAATTCATTGGATTCAAATACTTCAACATTATCAGAGGTAACGAATGCAGGATCATCTTTGATAAATATAGCTGCAGCCACATTTGACTGTGAGATATACCAAGATTGAGTAGAAAATTGATAATAAGATGACTCTGGAGTTTCATCACATATGAGGATGACATCATGAGGGGCTTCAGACAACAATTCACTTGAATCGCATGAAGACAGAGTCTTGTTGTAAATAAGAGGGCGATCTAATACCAAGGCACTTGCAGGGAACAGGGTCCATCCGGTGATGGTTAACCCGTTTCCGAGAGTCAAAGTTCCAGCAAACGAACGGTCGATTGTACCTGCCGCGACGGTCAAGGCCCATGGGCTCACATTGCGCACCTCTCCGAGAGAACCGCCTCTATTACCTGCTGTAGCTGAAACAACCACACCCTTCTCCATGGCTCCGAAGGAAGCTATGGCAATAGGATCCTCATACAGAGGTATCCCACGTCCGAAATTCATTGAAATTGATATCACGTCAACGCCATCAGCTACCGCCTGGTCCATACCGGCAAGGACATCAGAAGCTTTCCGCCCTTCATTAAAAATGACCTTATAGATGGCCACGCGAGCACTGGGCGCAACCCCTTTTGCTGTTCCCTTTGCATAGCCAAAGTATGAAGCGCCTTCCACAATGCTTCCAGCAGCTATGGAGGAAGTGTGTGTGCCGTGGCCATCAGTGTCCCTTGCAGAATTCATACTGATTGTAATGTTGGGATCTGCAGCTAAAATCCCCTTGTTGAAGTATCTAGCTCCAATGAGCTTCAAGTTGCACAGTGAGGAATTAAACTCTTGTCCTTCCTCACACTTACCCTTCCACCTAGAGGGGATTGGAGTCATTCCTTTATCATTGAAGCTCCTGCTCTCCGGCCAGACACCAGTGTCGATGACACCAATGATGACATCTTCGCCGTAATCTGAAGCCGGCCATAGGCCGGTGACATGATTGAGGGAAAGGAATTCAGTGCTGTGGGTGGTGTCAAGTGTGACTTCTCTATCACTATAAGCTGAGACAAACCCAGGGGAATTCTTTAGAGTCTCTAGTTCATCTTGAGACAATACTGCACTGAAACCATGAAAAGCATTATCATAAGTGTAGACAAGCTCTGGGTTGGATTCATGACCGCTTGATAATGTGTGACCTGCTGATTTTATGGAATCAACAGTGGAGGAGTACCAATGGTTGTAGCTAGCAAAGATCTTGGGCATTTGAGACTTGTCCATGTGGACAATATAGGTGGACCTCCCAACTGATGCTGATCTAGCCTGGAAAGCCAGAAGACACCATGCAAGCAAGATCAAATGAAGAAGAGGTACCCCATTAACGATCTTCATTGTTTCCTCCAAAACTTGAAGCTTTGGTTAGACAATAATTGGACCTGTAAGTTGGTTTATATTTTGCATCTCTATATATAAGCATAAATATGATACTATGATAGTTGAAATTGAGATGAGCGTGTATTAAATTATATTGAAACAACGACGGCGGAGACAGCATTTACTTGAGTTGTTAGAATTTATCTTTTTGTCATCCACACAAATGGTAGGCATTGATGTGTTTTTAATCGGCAAGCTGTCACCGAAAAATACTAGGCCACATATTGTTTCAGCTGGTCATTTAAAGTCAAAGTTGAAGGGCTATGCACTGCGGACTTGGATGTAGTCTTGTTTTGAGTTGTTAGAATTTATCTTTTTGTCATCCACACAAATAGTAGGCATTGATGTGTTTTTAATCGGCAAGCTGTCACCGAAAAGTACTAGGCCACATATTGTTTCAGCTGGCCATTTAAAGTCAAAGTTGAAGGGCTATGCACTGCGGACTTGGATGTAGTCTTGTTTTGTTTCTTTGACCCAACAGTAGCCGACAATTTGGCGTAGGAGGATCCCTATTGTCTCCCTGGGGCAGGATAATCTCTTCCAATACCAACACCAAATCTATCCTCCATCAATGAAACATTTGTTCCAAATATTTTTTTACTAGATTTTAGAATCATTTCTCATGTTTGGACTATCAGATCATCAAATCCAAAAAACAAAAATACACTCAAATCCAAATCCACCTCCACCCCAAGCGGGCCAACCAGCACTCCATTTCAAGTCAAGGTTGGAAGGCTTTGGACCCACATTAGACAATAAAATATTATGTAATAATTTTCGCATTTTTTATTTTTCAATTCAATAAACCCTCTTAACTTTATGTCTAAGCTCTGTCAAGGTTGATGATTATTTCAAGTAAAATGGAGACAAGAAGCCAACCTACGGTAAGGGATTTGAACCCATAATTATAATAATAATAATTATTATTATTTTGTCTTTTTTGTTGGTTTTTTTTACAAAACAACAAGAAACAGAAAATTACAACACAAAGAAAGCATCTGTGAAAAGGGCCTTCTTGACAAGAAGAGAAATAACCTCCCAACGGATAATAGAATCATCGGTAAATATAAGGGTGTAATTTGGACAGGCCAACTCAGCTCAATTCGAATTCAATTCAAAAATTTTAAAATTTAAACTTTTAAATTTACAAATCGGGTTTAATTTGAGCTGAATTTTCTCCGAACTCAGCCGTGTTCGGGTTGGGCTCAGGCTCAACCCGAACTCAACCCAAAACCCAAAATTAGAAAGCTTCCTTCATAAACAACTTGATTAACAAATCTAACCACCTAACCAAGGAATAAATATTATGTGCGCACCGGACTAATTTGAGCGGTTCGTGATGTGCATGCGTTGGTTCATGTTGTGCGTGCCCAACTAATTTGAGCCGTTCGTAATGTGCATGCGTCGGTTCATGTTGTGCACGCACGACTCAAATTAGCTCGATTCACGGTACACACCAAATATCTACTCTCAACTGATATATAATTCTCGACTTATAAAAATCAAGAGTTTCACAACATCCAAAATTGAATCCAAAGCTTCCTCTGTAGTTTGAAGATCCAATACTAGCTTGCAGACACCTTCAATTATAACCTTAGAAAGGCCCCAACTATGACGGGCAAAAAGCAGCTGATCTGAGGGATAGATCTTCAACTACCGAAGCAGGCACAACATAGCTAAAAGAGACACACCATTTGAAACAAATGACCTTCTCTGTTCGGATAACCCCCCATGCTCTTCTTAGAAAATGAATTATAATGAGTATTTAAATTTTTAAACCCATACCTCGATCATTTTCGTATCAAATACTGAACTTCTCGAATACTCACGTATCAATACTTTTTAAACGTATTCATAATATTAAAATATATTTTTCTATTTCTAACACGTCAAATACTTCTGAAACACTTCGATTATGTATTTTGAGATACTTCAGAACAAATTCTTAATAAATTTTGGACATTAAAATGTAGTTTTTGTTGCAATAATATCAAAGTATAGTTGTCATAAGGATTTAAAATTTATTTTTAAAAAAGTATTGAAATATATATATAGTGATTTAGTACAAAATTTATTCATGTGAAATATGCCCATATATGACTCTTTTAACTTTTATTTTATTTGTTAAGCAATATATTTTATTAAAATACTGTTAATAACAATATGTATAACATAAAATCAACTTTATTTTTTGTAAATATAAATATATAATTTATTATTTTTATATTGTCATATCCTGCTCTAACCGTATTTTTTTTTCATTTTTTTTTAGATTTGTCTTCATCTGACATGCTTATAATCTGTATCTCTATCCATGCTTTGAGTTCCTCCAGCCAGCAGACAATCAAGACTCAGTAGAGCCTGAGTGGAATATTTGTGAATGCGTGTGGATTTAGAGGTCCCCAACATCACCAACATCAAAGACAGCTTCAAAGCCTGACAAAACTCGATTATACAAATTCAACGTAAAAATTAGAACCAACGATTAGAATTTGATACCAATTGTTGTGATAAAAACGCAAATAATAAAGTTATTCGTGGAATAATCACAAACAATCACAAAGAAAAATCATACACAAGTACACAAGATATATATGGTTCACTCAAATCTTAAGGCTACGTTCATGGAGCACACCGAACAAATTTACTATGAAGATGAAGAAGAGAACAATTAAAATGGAGAATTTTCTCTCAATCTCTCTGTTGCTCTTTCTTGTGTTGACAAATTAATCATACAACATGTATGATTTGTCTCTAACTCTCACACTCTCTAAAAACTAATTAGGGTTGATATTTATAGCCCCATACAATGAAACCCAACTTGTCCCACAAAAATTACCTTTTGTAGAGTTCAATTCCAACAAGAAAAGTAAATCACGTAGCTTCCCAGCAGTGTTGAACCGGTTCAGCCCTTTTTGGAACTGGTTCAACTTGTTGCCCAAAAACTTCTGCAACGTTCTGCCACTCTTGAACCGGTACAAAGAATTGGCTACCGGTTCCCACTGGACAGTGGCTGATCTCAACATTTCCTTGATTTGGCTATCACTCAGCGGAACCGGTTCCAAAACTCTTGAACCGGTTCAAACGTTCCAGTAGCCAAAATATTAAAATCATTAGTTTTCCAAAAAAACTTCACGTTTTCAACACGTAATCAGATTCCACAAAAAACACAGCAATCTCTCACTTGGAGACTAGAGCACTTATAAACACATTCCATCTTATTCTCATGCATGTCCCATGAATGTCGGTGCGCTTCTCTCTGTCTTCAAGCTAGAAGATCGACTGAAGTTGCGCATAACTTCAGTTTCTCCATGGTCACTGTCTTGGTCAACATGTTAGTCAGATTCTTGGTGTCAAGTATTTTCTCAAGTGTCAACACCCCATCTTCTAACAAAGATTTGATGAAGTTGTAACGTGTCCAATTTTCGTCATTTTTCAATTTCTGAAATTTTTCGTCCATGCAAAGACATTTTGTCTTTTCTCGTTTTACGTGCCGAACACTGTGAGGTGTACCGGTTGTGTTTAGAGTTAATTGGGATATTTCATTGAGTCCATGACTCTTTAAAATGCCAAGGTTGTCATTTTTGCATTTTTTTCTTTTTTCGGGCCGAGCGGTTCCGTGTAGGACCCGCTGCCAGAATTATTGCATCCGGGGATCTTAGTTAGATTCATTTGCATCATATTTATTTTATTTAATGTGTTTTAAGTGATTTTGAATTAATGTGTATAAGAATATATATATGTTGTATAATGAAACTAAATATAAAAGGGATAATAAATTGAATTTTTGGCAGGGCCTACACATCATGTTGAAGAGTGAACCAAGAGATATTTAGGCCTCATTTCTTGCTTCCCTTTCTCTCTCCCCTCTGGTTCTCTATCTCACCCCCTTTACTTTGCTTTTCTTTTTCTTTTTGAATCAAAACTTTAGAACTTTATTCCTCCTTCACTACTTGAAATTTTTGGAAGCCGTTTACGGCAATTCGAAGAGCTCGGCAAGACCTTTACGTTGATGTAAACAATTTCTTGTTTGGCTAAGCTTGCAATTTTGAAATTCTAGGGTATAAATTGGGCATTTTCATCTAGCTTGAGGTAAGGGTTCCTAATTCATGTTTTTCTTGTTCCTTTGTGAGTTATCTCTCATTAATTGTTGTAAAGCATGTTTAATTTTGAGTTATTTGTCTTGAAGATGATGTAAATATTGTATATGAAGTTTATGATCATATGTGTTAATTGAATTATATGAAAAATATGCCTATGTGTTAATTTCCTTGTCTAAGTGTTGATTTTTTTTCTATGCCTACTATGTTTTAAACTTGTTAGAAGTAATATATGAAAGCATGTGTAAATTTCTTAGAATTCGTGTAAAACATGTTTATCTATGTTGTATAAAATCCTTTATTGCCATAGCATTGAAAGTATGAGACGTACATACATACCAAGTGGCATGAATGGAAGAAAATGATTTGGAATAAATGAAAAAGGGATTTTTGGGGAAATGTTTTGATTAAAGTGATTTTGAGAAACTTGGTCACTGCGAAGTCACCAAAGGGCCGGTGTGTTAATGTAACCTAAAGGGAACTAGGGAGATCACCCTAACGTGGTTGAGTTATCTGGACCCCAAATGACACCGCGAGGGTATCAAAGGTCAGGGACAGTAGCCAATCCTTCTCTCGTGTCGCTGCGGGGTCACCAAAAGATGGGTTATATTAACAGTTTCTAAATTAATGGATGTTTTCTGAAAATAGGGAGTGACATGCTTGACATTGCATGCATAGCACAACATTTACTTGTTGTTTAACTAGAAATTGATATTGTATTTTTCCCGACTTAGTATGACCCCGCTCCCTTTTGTTTTATTCATTATTTGGATTCACGGGGCTATAAGAGGTATGTCTTAGGCACCACCTACTGAGCAATTTGCTCACCCCTTTATAATTAACATTTTTCAGGATATGGAAAAAAAGTAGCGGACGATAATCCATCCCAACCTTAGCTTGGAGTAGGAAAATGTCTCTTTTTTGCTAACTTTTGTATTTGGGCTTAATTTTGTAAAATATTGATTCAAAGTGTATTATTTTGTAACA